TATCCTTCTGATTTTATATGAATGTACAAATGTGTGTGTGTTTATTTGTATTTATATACATATATGTGGGTGTGTGTGTGTTTACATTTCATTTCCTGTGAGTTTAAGCGCAGGGGAAAATTTTCCCCGCAGATTTAAATCCCTGCTCACCCGATGTCTCTCTCCAGGTTTGTGTTTAGAGAAGAGAGTTTTTTACCGACTCATCTCCGGCCTCCACAGCAGCATCAACATCCACCTGTGTGCCGAGCACCTGCTGGACGGTACGGCCATCACTGCAAACAAATATTCACTTCATGTAAACCTGCACACATGTGGAAACCCTGACATGTCAAGGTTTCAAGACAAATATAGATGATATAAACAAGATGTGGTAAAAACTCCTCAGGCAGATTCTTTTTAAATGGACACAAATGTTCAGTTGGACCCAAAGATGAACATCAATGATCAAAGTCACAGTGATAATGAAAATCCACTAAATCCTTGAAGCAAAATTCATCATGTGTTAAACTGTTGTGTTTGGTGTTGGACTCCTCAGAGGGCTGGGGCCGCTCAGTCTGGGGCCCGAACGTCCAGGAGTTCCGGCGGCGCTTTGATATGGCCGAGACAAAGGGCGAGGGCACACGGCGTCTGAAGAACCTCTACTTCCTGTACCTGATCGAGCTGCGGGCGCTGTACAAGGTGGCTCCGTACTTTGAGCGTGCCTTCGTCGACCTGTACACTGGAAACACGCAGGAGGACGGAGCCACCAAAGAACTTCTGCTGCAAGTCTTCAACGAGCTCAGGTGACTTGAAACAGATTTAAGTGGAGGAAATGTCAGACCAACAGTTGGTGACACACGAACACTCAGATTCTCCCACAGTGTTTAACTCATGTCGACACTTGAAACGTCTGAAACGTCTTCACAACAACTTAACAACTACATGTTGTTCAGTAAACTACAAGTCAATGTAAAGGGCTGATGTTGGTGTAATTAGAACAAACATTAAAGAATTCAGATAAAATGTGGAGCTGCGAGTAAACTTGAGAAAAATCTAAAATCTGATGTTGAAGCCGAAGTTTCCCACGTGTTGGTTTCTTTAATGTTCGTAACAGTTATAAATAAAGCAGGCGTTTGATCGAACAGCTGTTTTTGTCTTCCAGAACGTTCCCGATGCACTTTGACGAGAAGTCCATGTTTGCTGGAAACAAAATTGAAGCAAAGACACTGAAGGTGAGAGCAGATACTAAAATGTTGTGTTACAGGAGAAAAACATATTTGATGTGAAGTTTTGTCGGTGAACATCATCTCCTCTCGTTCGTCTTCTAGGAAGAATTCCGCCTCCACTTTAAAAACATTTCCAGGATCATGGACTGTGTCGGCTGCAGCAAATGTCGTGTGTGGGGGAAACTTCAGGTGAGTCACGTTTACACTCTGAGCCGTTTGTGCTCGCTTTGTTCATTTAGACAAAACAGAGCAGTGTCACCGGAAACCATGGGGGGGGCAGTGATGTGAGACGATCATAGAACACGAGAAACTTCCACAAGGTCCAAACTTTCTCAGGAGAAACTCTTAACTGTCTGTCTCTCTCTCTGTGTCTCTCTCTCTCTGTCTCTGTCTCTGTCTGTCTCTGTCTCTCTCTCTCTCTCTGTGTAGACTCAGGGTCTGGGCACAGCCCTGAAGATCCTCTTCTCGGAGAAGGAGATCCAGAAGCTTCCTGAACACAGTCCGTCTAAAGGTTTCCAGCTGACTCGCCAGGAGATCGTGGCTTTGATCAACGGCTTCTGCAGGTTCGTTCAGCGCTCTTTGATCAGTCATGATCCCTAGAGGATGAACTCTCATGTCTCTTTACTTCTTCCTGTGAAATACCTGAACAGAAACTTCATGAACATCCATGTTCCCCTCAGGAGGAACCACAAACGTTCAAGTTTAAATTTGTAAAGTGGAAAAGTCAGAGGACTTAATAACAACTTTTAATCTAGTGCCACAGTTTGGTCTGAATATAAAATTTGTTTATGTTAAAAAATTATAAATGAATATTTTTATTATGCGATAATGTGACATGTTCATCTCTGTTGCCCCCTGCAGGTTGTCCACCAGTATACAGCAGCTGCACGGCTTTCGCCTGCTGTTGGAGAACAGGTAACAGGAGGTCCACCGGGACAGTAGGTGGCGCCAGCCCCCACTGAACTGCTATTGTCTTCAGCTTTTTATACGTCAGGATCAACAGTGAAACTCCCAGAAATCTCAGTTTCCCTCTGAAACCTCCTCCTCTTTTTCTTCCTCTTCTTCTTCTTCCTCTTCACTAGACTTTTTCTTTTTCTTTGTCGTTCAGTGAAAAACTGACGTCTGTTAGTTTCATTTTCTGAGAATGTGATTCATGATGAAAATTTGACTTCCTGAAGGGAATAATAAAGACCAATCAGACATCTGGGAGGAAGTGATGTAACACAGTGATGCACGATTGTGATGAAGACGATGATAACGGTGAAGACGAAGACTGGACAGACTAAACTGTGGAAACTGTTGGAGGGAAACCTTTCTCTTCCTCTGCTGACATTACATCTTGTCGGATTGTTAAAGTCGCTGTTCTGTAACTATGCTGAAAGACTTAGATGGATGAAGTTTGTCAAGATGAAACTGCTGCCTGTTTGTTTTTATTTTCTCTTCCTCTTTGCTCGCTTCCTGTTGTTTTTGACATGTTTGTTGCTTGTGAAGCTCTGGACCAGTCTGTGTGTCTCTCTCTGTCAATAGTCAGATCTATGGTTTCCATGGTAACCCTCAACACTATTTAATATATTGAATTAGACGACACGTGAAGAAACATTTGTTCTCAAACTATTTATTTATTCACACGTTAGTCCCGTGTTCAGAACGTTTTCTGTCAGAACCGAGAGTCCAACAAGCAACAAAGTGGTTAAACACGTCAAGTCTGTGATGACACCTGTCAATCAAAGCACAAATACAACGGCACGGCCGGGAATTTTATCAGATGGAAACTGAAACATGGAGAAAACACGTCTGATCGTAGCTCATTGGTTTGTTTGCTGTGATGATAAAGTAAAAATAGAAAATGGACCAAAGAATTAAAAGCTGCCTACATTTGATTGGTTTTGTTTTTTATGATGCTCTGGAAGTTACATTACAATAAGTTAATCAACATGTGGGTAAAACACATCATATATATGATGTGTATATATATATATAAAATAATTGGGGAAAACATTATAAATGTAAATCTACACATATAAAATGTTATTTAAAGTAACTGCAGCTTCTGTTTGGTCTTAACTGCTTTAATGTTCTTTAATGTATCAGAAACCTTTGATTAAAACTGAAGATAATATCTGAACGTTTCCTCTTCGTCAGAAAGAGAATCAGAATCAGTGCAGTTCTCAGATGCTCCTGCAGAGGGAGCTGTGTCTTCGTTCTGTTGTTACTGAAAGAAATAAAAACAACAAAACAAGAAATGTGCATAACAAACTTTTTTACAGAAAAGTTTTGCCTCAGTTTGATTTCACAGTAAAAACTCTTCATTCTCTAGTGGCTCTGAGGCGGGATTGATTTTTCATGTGTCCACAGAGTCCCAACGAATGAATGAGAGTCAAAATATGTTCATCAATATTTGTTTTCGTTATTGTGGAATTCAAACCTTAATGGATTTGACAGCTTTAAATTTGTTCATGTTAGGTAACAAAAGAGTGTGTGTGTGTGTGTGTCGTAGTGTTGGTGTGTGTGTGTGGTAGTGTTGGTGTGTGAGAGGTGTGTGTGTGTGTTGTCTGTCAGTTATTGATCAAATTATTTTATCAACCTTTTGTTGTCATGACAACTAGACGAACTGTCATCATATTGTCATATTAATTGTTTTGTTGATTTGCCAGAAACACAAAACAAAAAAACTTGAAGACTGAAATAGATAAATAATTTTAACTTATTAAAAATATCAGACTCAGGATTAAATGAAGTGTTCAGACTTTATGGTACAGTTTTTGTTATTTACAGGATATTGATCGTACAGATAATCACGTGTTTGTTTATGTCTCACAACAACTCGAGGAGTTTTCAAGAATTATTCAGGACAGGATATGAAGCTGTTTCACGACACGTAACCAGTTTCACGTAACAAATAATTCAAACAGAATAAATAAATGCAAGAAATCATCCAATTCACATCAGGTGCGTTAGTTCATCACGTTCAGTGGGAATAAATATTTCAGATGAAATTATTGGATAACTCAAGCTGATCGTCATGGAAACATTCATCACGTCGTTTCCACACTGAGGCTCAACACGAACATATTCTGGAGAATTCATCGTCTCCAGGTTCTAAAGCAAAGATTCATAAAAAGATTAAAAATCAAATATTTGTCCATGATCAGAAGAACACCGTGGGAACTTTTTATTTATTTATCGATTTGTTTTGTGACGTGAGGAAGAAAATAATAAATCAAATGTCACGGCCGCTAAAGTGTTTAAAATGATTTATGTCCTTGTTTCTTAAATATACATGTTAGTGTCCATTTCTACCAAGAGAGGGCGCTGCAGGGTTTGAATGTGTCACACATAGTATCTGATGATCAAAGGTTGAAAGAAGTGAAGCGGAGCAGTGAGGGATCATGGGTAATGTTGGAGCTCTCCCGTGGTCAGGCGCTGCTCGTCACTGCTGGAGTTCACGGTGAAGCTGCCCCAGTCGTAGCAGTCGGAGGAAAAGCTGAGAGACAAACAGGAAACTGTCGATCAGAAGATTCAAACAACACAAAGACCACACAGACCTGATACCACCTGTCAATCAATGTTCACGTTAAGAAGACACACTCAGGTCATTGTTGATTTACACCAGCAGGGGGCGGCAGAGTGGTGTATTTATCCACGTCTCTCTCTCATACACTGTTAAAACCTCAGGACTTGTTCCTCCTGATTGGTCCCACTCATAGATCCTGAGGTTAATAATAATACTAATAACCACTAAGTTTCATTCTGGAGCTGATGTGTTTCCTGTGTAACCCCCCCCCCCCCCCCCCCCCCCCACTCTGATCACATCCAACAGTAGCTTATCCTCTGAAACACGAGCCTGATGTTTCCTCTGTATAAAACATCTGGTTCACTACTTCAATCTTCTGCACACGTTTTCAATTCTAATCCATTGTAGTAGAACATTATTAAACTATTGATGGTTTGGACTCTGAGGTCTTTCCACTGACAACAAGATGATGGACAGCTCCATTGTAGCATTTAGCTCCGCTGCTATGAAAGTGATCCTTCAAGTCAACATTCACTTTCCCTCAGTGTCTTGATTCTTCTGAGACTCGCTGATCGGTTTCTTCCTCTTGTTCTTCTTCTTTGCTGAGTTAGATGATGTTAGTTGCCACCCACCAAAAAACCAACAGAAGAAGACACTTCACGATAAGAGGCCAAAATATCTCAGATCAAACACTGCCACCCTGTGGTGATGGGAGTTAGGGTTTCTACGAAAATAGAATTATTTATTACCAGTGATGATGTTCGTACCTCGCTGATGCATTCTGGGGAGGAATGCTCCACGCAAGGTCATCGTCGCTGTCGTAGCGACGGGGATTGTCGAAGAAATACCCACGTGAGGAGAGGATGTGGTTTGGTATTCCAGCGCTGCTCTGTGGTTAAAAACAAAACATTCAAATGAGACGATTCACTTCAGTGTGTGAACGTTAAAGTTCTATCAGGTTCAAACCATTCCACTTCTTACAGTGCCGTCATGTAGAGAGCTGAATCTGAAGTGACTGAGGGGAATATAATTAAAGATAATTAATCAAATCAATAGTTTCATAAAGATTTACTCCACGTTGGTTTTGTCATGTGCAGAGGTCATCTGACCCCGTCAGGAGGACTGACCCTGTCCTGAGGGGGTTGTCGCACCCTGAAGAAGAAGACAACCAGCGAGGTGGGCAGCAGCTCCCAGACAAACAGAATCACCCCAAACACGACGTAACCGGCGTCTCCCAGTGACGACCGCAGGTCAGCCTGTAGACACAGAGGTCAGAGGATTAACGAGGGCAGCGGTGGTGCTGTGGCGGTGGTGCTGTGGCGGTG